TGTGTTTGAATATTAGTACAAAATTCAATGATTAAGAAAAGAAAGGAATAGGATGATACCAAAAAGTGTTGGTTTTAAGGTTTGAGATAACCGTAATTAAGTTCCATTTTAGGTACAATTAAATCTAGAACTCAGTTCCCCACGTGTCACTCAATCATTAGATATATTTAAAGGTCTTGTTTTACTCTCGTTCATGAATATTAGTTAATTCCCTAATTAATTTGAGAAAGCTGTAAAGTTATCATTGATCGAGAATATATATATATATATATATATATATATATATATATATATATATATATAGGTGGAGGTTCAAACGAGAACCCTTGTGATTTACGAGAATGCGAGAATAATCCAATAACCTCAAACTTTTTTAATTAATAAATTAACTTTTATTATATATAAATAATTTAATAAGGACAATAATGTAATTAAGTAATTTTTATAATTTTTATTTTATTTTAATTAACCATAATTATCTTTTCACGTTCCACGTTTTACTCTTGGTAGTTATCTTCTTCTTCTTCTCGTTAACATCTTTTCTTCATATCACACCTCTATCACATAAGTATCACACTCATATCATATGATTATCACACCCATATTATATGATTACACCAAAATTTTAACTTGTCAACCAAAACGATAACCCAAGTGATGTATAACAGTGATTATCACACCCTTATCACATGATTATCACACCCAAATCACACGATGACACCAAAATTTTAACTTATCAACCAAAACATTAACCCAAGTGATGTATAATGGTGATTATCACACTCCTATCACACTCATATCACATGATTATCACACCCCTATCACATGATTACACCAAAATTTTAACTTATTAACCAAAACGATAACTCAAGTGATGTATAATGGTGATTATCACACCTCTATCACATGATTATCACACCTATATCACATGATTATCACAGTATAATCATAACCTATTTCGTAACCGTTTTACTAGATAATGATAATAATGAATGTTTAAAAGATAATGATCGTGTTTAAAAAGATTTGATGATATCATTTCCATTATTACCCTTTTAATTTTAAATTTTTTTGAATCTTTTTAAATTTAAATTTAAATTTTAAAAATCTTTTAATTTTAWTTTTTATCACAATATGAGGTTATTGGGTTGTTCTTGYRTTCTCGTAAATCACAGGGGTTCTCGTTTGAACCCTTCTCTATATATATATATATATATAACTTTTTACATATATATATATATAAAACTTTTTACATTTGTATAACAAATACAACTCAATCTCAACCGTCCATTTAATTTGATGAATATGTAATTTCATAGAAGTTTTGACTGTTTCCTAATATAAAGTATTAATCATAATTAATGAACCTTATTCATCTTTCATAAATATTTAAATTATAATAAATGAACTCTCATCATTTTTATAAATATTACAATTTATTGGGTTGCACTGGTTGTACAAATGTGATGAGTTGCATTTGAAACAAACTATATATATATATAAAAAATATAAAATGTTAAAATAATACATTTTTTCATCATCACTCATCTATACTATATTATAAAACATTTGATAAAAACTCTTAAAAATTATTCTTTGTGTATGAAGTACTGTTTATTGTTAGATATTATTTAAAATTCAAGATTACAAAACATTATGTGTAAGTACAACTTATTAAAACTCCATATTTGAATTCAGGTAACTAAATGCAGACAAACATAATCAAACACAGTAAAAACATCTCATTTCAAATATAAAAAATCTAAAATATAATTATGGAAAAATCATTGAGTTATAATAGAATACTTAATTATTATCATTATAATTTTTTTTATTATTAAACCAAAAATAAATTACTTCATTATTAAAGTTAAATTAAATTAAAATAAAAAAATTGAATTAAAGAAATTACATAAAAAATGAGAACTTTTAAATAATTAATTGATATTAATATCGACATAATTTCAAATTTTTATCTTCAAATTTATATTTTATTAAAAATAAAAACAAAATCGCGTTTCTCAAAATCATATAAAACCGTATTATATTGACAAAGGCAAAAAAATAAAACGGAGTATTAAAATCGAGATGTATCCTGCTTCATTGCATGTGTATTTTTTTTGTTATGTTATAAAACATTTGCGTACAACTCTTAAAAATAATTTATAATGCATCATATACTATTTAATGATGTATACTTCTTAAAATTTAAGATTATAAGTAATAGTGCATGAATATTACAAAAATTTAAAATTATAAATAATTTAAAATATAATTAAGATAATCATTAGCTTATAACGCAATATATAATTATTATGTTTATACAAAAATTATAGAAATAAATTGATTCGTTGTTAAACTCAAACTAAATTATAATAAAAAGATTGAACTAAAAATTATATTTATAAGAAGCATTAATTATTAGATTTAAAATAATTTATATCATTATTAAACCTAAATTAAATTATATTAAAAAAATGAACTAAAAGAATTATACAAAAAACGAGAATTTTTAAATTGTTAATTTGATATTGATAGAAATTTTTATGGGTCTTCAAATTCATATTTTACTCAAATACAAAAACATTATTGTTTTCTCAAAACCATGTGAGACTGTATTATAAAACAAAATATTAAAACCGAGATGTAACTTGCTGCATTGTGCGAGTACATTTCTAGTTATCCTAATATATATGTAAAAAGTAAGTTTGATTAATGCAATAAAATTAATATTTTATGGCGTTTATAACTACTTTGATTGAACATTTAATCATATATTTTTCATATAACTAATACTTGTGTAACACCCCATATCCATATTTACATAAAATCACATATTCCATTTAACATTAAATACAAATATACACTTTGGTCCCATATATGTAAATTGCTACGTTACAAAAGTAGTTACAACTTTTTCCATATACACCAAGTACATTACTTCCATACATATCTAGTTCTCAAGTATATGTAATATATCAGCTTCAAAAAAATCAACATATGTAAAGCAATCATAATTTCTTCACATTTTCGTTTCCCTTATCCTCCAAATGTGCCTGACCTGTAATGCACAGTTGAAAACACAAAATGAGGTTAAACAATAAGGTTTAGTGATATATCCCTTTTTAGTGTTATTACAGGGTGAAAATCATTAAGACACTTTATAAAGCCTATATTTGTATTAATAACAAATAAACAGTGTTTTTATTAAAACAAACCTCTTTGTTGCATCACATAGATGACACAACTTTAATTTATCGCATCGTGATCCATTAAAGTCTCAAACTTAGCGCATTAAATAACAAACAATCAAGTTGTCGCATTCCACATGTAATACACCAACTTATCGCATCACACTGATGCGATAACATATTTTTGTCGCATCATACACATGCGACAACCCCTTATCGCATATCAATGATGCAATGACCCAATCTTGTCGCATCACAAAGATGCGATAACCACTAATTATCACATCTTATTGATGCAATAAACATACTTCTCGCATCATACTGATACGATAAACCCAACATGTCACATCACAAGGATGCGATAAATAACACTTCAATTTCCAACCCCAATTTTATCGCATCACACATATGCGATAAAATCAACCTCATCGCATTACACTGATGCTATAACAGCTTACCATGATCAAAAGATCATCATTTCAGAATTTGATTATGTCACCCTTATCTCAATATACACAGCTGCTGATTATGTCAATCTTATTTCAAATAATACTCAACTCCTGATTATGCCACCCTTATTACCAAAAAATACTCATCTCTTGATTATGTCACCCTTATTACCAAAAATATTCATTTCCTGATTATGCCATCCTTATTACCAAATAATACTCAGCTCCTGATTATGTCACCTTTATTACAATCAAGTGATAATATCATATCAAAACCCAAAATTTTGCTAATAATAGCATATATCACATTCAAATTCCATGTACAAATCCCTACACATGTGATACTATTATTCCATCACATATGATACACATGTGATACTAAAGCAGAGACGCGGACAATTTTCGATGCGATCTTGGTTGCGGGTTAGGTCCTCCTTACACCACTAAGCCCCCTCACAAGTATTATCACATGTGATAAGAGTGTTATTGATATGATATTATAATGCATCAAGGCCATCACATGTAATGCTAAATTATAGACGCAGACAACATTTGGCAGAACCTAAGTCGTAAAACACGTCGTCCGCATGCATCACAGGTCCTCTCACGCGTATTATCACATGTGATAGGATGTTCTCGCGTTCTCGTAACATGGAGATGTTCTCGTTTGAACCCCTCTCTCTCTCTCTCTCTCTATATATATATATATATATATATCGGTTATTATACAACTTTTTACATTTGTATAACCAATACAAACCAATCTCAACCCAATCTCAACCGTCCATTTAATTTGATGAATATGTGATTTCGTAAAAGTTTTGATTGTTTCCTAATATAAAATATTGATCATAATTAATGAACCATATTCATCTTCCATAAATATTTAAATCATAATAAATAAACTCTCATCATTAGTATAAATATCTCAATTAATTGGATTGCATTGTTTATACATATGGACATGGTTGTATTTGAAATATATATTATATATATATATATATGTATATATATGTATATATATGTATATATATATATATATATGTATATGTATGTGTGTGTATGCTTTTTTTATTTGGGTAAATATATGCTTTTTAGAACCCCTACCAAATAAGGGCTAAAAACTATCCAAGGCTACGGGAACAGATACAAATATGGGTTAATTAACCACATTTACACCCTGGATGACACCATACAAACCCACTATCTCAATAATCTTAATCTTTAATTTCTTCCCACTTGATCATATATTTATGTTTTAGCACCTTGCTTCACCAAGATCCAAACTCTATCTCCACCTTTCTCTCTCACAAATCAAGAAACCCTAGCAAGAAAACCACTAGAAATTCAGAGATCAGACATGGCAAGAGGCAAGATAACGATCAGAAGGATCGATGACACAACAAGTAGGCAAGTGACATTCTCCAAGAGAAGAAATGGGTTGTTAAAGAAAGCAAAAGAGATCGCAATCCTATGTGATGCTCAAGTTGGAGCCATCGTCTTCTCCAGCACTGGCAAGCTCTCTGAATTCTCCTCCACCAGGTTTCTTAATTTATCCCCCATCCTTCTCAATCATTTCATCGTATCTTGAACCTCATACATACATATATATACATATATATTTCTTTGTTTGTTCAGAAGAATAAATTATGGATATCATTAAGAATCTATGTATTTACCTGAGTTGTTTTTGGTGTAAATCAGGTTTCAAGCATATATACAACTAGAATTTTAGGTCATGGTGTTTCAGTTATAGTACTTGTCTTTAGCAAAATGATGTCTAACTGAGTTTGGGTTCAGAGTCGATCGATGATGGTATATATTATGTATGCAAGCATTTTCCTTTTGGCTTCTTTCTCGATCAAAGAATACATAAAAAAGGTTTCCGTTGTGGCCACGGAGGTTCAAATGCGGTGACTCCGGACTATTTGTAAAGCAGGTGGTCGTCTTGGAATTAATCAGCTCGCATAGCGGGTTGGATATTCAGGTTAATAAAAAAAAAAAGGTTCTGGTTTCTTGATTAATTTACTTCTCCATCAATCCTAGACAAGTGTACTATACATTCCATGTATCGTTCTTTATCCCAAATTAAAAAGACCCTTATTTCAAAATTCAACATCGAGATAACTTCAAAAATTTCATCTTAGTTGAGTTCGTTCAAATGGTTAAAAGATTACGTAAAATAACCAAAAGTTTGGAGTTCAAATCCACGTTGTTATAGATCGCAAAGTTTTGGTGTCCATGAACCATGTTGTGAGAGATGGTTCTAATTTATAGTACTAGCTTTTGATCCCATATATGACGATATACGTTTGGTTTAATCAATCGTTGATGATCGATAAGATCGTTCATGGGGATGTCTTTTGTGTGTTAATTAAGAAAATTTGATTTGTTTGACGATATTTCAGCATGAAATCAGTGATTCAACGCTATAATAGAACACAAGAAGAGAACAATCAACTATTGAATCCAATGTCAGAGGTCAAGGTACAATTCCTCCTTATTCATTAATCCATCTTAATCCTCTTTGCATTTTACAGCTTTTGATATATTTTATATGCTTTGTAACGGTAAGAAACTTAAATATCATGAGAAAGTAAGAAAATAAGATTAAAAGAAAGTTTATATGTAAATCATTGAAAAAAAATCTATATGTACAAACATATGTGAACCCGTATGAATAAGATATAACATCTGTTCTATGCATTTTCAAATAATTTTTTTTTTCGGTTTTTTAAATTATTCACATATGAATCATCCCTTACCTTTTTATGGTATTTATTATTTTTTTATGTGTGTGTGTGTGTGTGCATATATATATATATATAGATAGATAGATAGATAGGGGAGCGTTCAAATAAAAACCACACAATTTGTACAAACCGTGAAAACCACATTTCAACCAATCATAATTTTTCATTTTCTTCATTTTTTTGTAATTATGAGAGGTTGATTAACCATTTTTATTGTGGAGTGTGTTAATTATGGATATTATCATCTTCATTATTTTAATTTTGGAGAAATACATGAAACAGTTTCATTAAAATTTCATTAAATATTATATGAAACAATTTTATAACCATATATGAAACAAATTCATTAAAAAAAGTATTATATGAAACAATTTCACAAGATTAAAAAAATTTCATAAGATTAAACAATGAAATCGACGTATGAGAATATTTTGTACGGTTTGTACAAATGAGGGTGGTTTTTATTTGATCGCTCCTCTCTCTCTCTCTCTCTCTCTATATATATATATATATATATATATATATATATATATTCATACCATGATGAAATTTTAAGAGTAAATATTTATCTCTATGAGATTTTATGATCATGATATTGATCCTTTTGTGTACAATTGCTAGCTTTGGCAAATGGAAGTGGCTGTATTGAAGCAAAAATTAGAGACCTTGCAAGAGACTCATCGGTAAGTTATAATTATGCCTCACCTTCCAATGATTTCACTAAAATAACATTCAGGTTTAAAATATCTAAATGTGTATGATTTATAGGATTTATGTTTTAAGAACAAAACTATAAAACATTCAATTTAAAAGTGTTACAATAAGTTTATAGAACGCTTTTAGCGTTTTAACAAGTGTTCTTTTTTAAACTAAAATGTCGTATTAACTATTTTATAGGACACTTTGAGAAGTGTTCATATAAACCCAATTTTTGACATGACAAGTGTGATAGGTCATTTTTCCCGAATAATATCCTATAAAATTAACACCACGACACTTTATTTTAAAAATGTTATAAAAACCTGTTAAAACGTCGAAAAATGTCCCATAGACCCATTGTAATACTTTTAGATATGAAACTTGGTTTGATCCTGTAAATTTAAGGTCTATAAAACACTCTATAATAAGACACATATATAACTCAATTTTGTTAAAGTGACTGGTATTCTAAGACCAGTTAAATCATTTATTGAAATTGATTCGTGCTTAATGACCTTCTCTGATAAGGTTAGGCAAGGGATGGGAAATGAACTCAGTAACATGGGTGTTGAAGACCTGCAAAGACTAGAGATTCGGTTGGAAACGAACCTACGCAACATTCGCTTGAAGAAGGTATAATCAGTGATATATGAACCCTTTTTTGACGGCAAAAAGACTCCTTTATTTTAAAACCGGAAACTAGCGAGAAGCGAGAGGTGCAAAAATTGCTTACATAATTTTAGAGGGAGCAAATTCAATGATCCCAATAAGGATCTACCTATTTATTTATCTAACTTTAATCCAATAAAAGATGAAGTATTGGATAAAATCCGTAATCTCACTAAAAAAACCCAACTCCAACTATACATAAAAAAACACTAAAAACATTTTTGGTATTATTATAATAATAAAATAATATATGTATTTATTATTTAATGTATTAAACTATAATTAATATATATATATATAATTATAACCTCCATTTTCTGTGTTTTAATGTTGGGTTGGAGATGAAAACAATTCCATTTAATGTTGAGTAGGAGATAGTCTAAAGCTTCTCATTCCTTTGGTTCCACATGAATGATATATGAACCTTAATCACCTTTCCGTTTATGGATTTGAAATTAAACTTTATAGTACGTCTGGCATTTGAGTTATTTCCGAACCTAATTTACATGTATTTGATTAGAACACACACACACACACACACACACACACACACACACACACATATATATATATAGAGAGAGAGAGAGAGAGAGAGACTTGGGATCATGTGAGACCAATGATTTTTTGTGAGACTCGTAAGACCAATTCTCAACCCTTGGATTAGATATACAATATGAAAATCTAAATATTTATAAATGCCACGAGACTTCTCAATATCACAAAATTGCCACCGTGCAATTTAGACCATTAGATCATTAACTTATAAAGTTGATCAATGAACATAAATTGGTCTTACGGATCTCACGAAAAACCTTTGGTCTTACGTGAACCCAACCATATATATATATATATATATATATATTATAGAACTAGGGTTTTAATTGCTCACATTTTCAGTTCAATTTTTCATAAATATATAAAAAGCATATATTATAAGTAGTGTTCAAAGTTTTCATGTATTTGAAAACACGTTTAACCAGGGCTTGAATGTCCTTTTTTTTATATACTATTTTCATAATTAACATCACAAGAAGTAGGGTTTGAATTTTCTTCTCGTAGTTATACTTCTTCATGAAATTGACACTACCAATCACAACTAGGGTTTTGATTTGATTTTCGATTTAATCACAATATTACCACTAGTTTTAGATTATTGCCCTTTTAATTTTAGCCCGTTATATAAATTTGAAACGAATCAATTATACCTTTTTTTTATTAACTTGGATATCCAATCCGTTATGTGAGACGACTAATCCCAGAATGACCACCTGCTTTGCAGTTAGCCCGGAGTCATCGCATTTGAACCTTCGTGGCCACAAGAAGATTTTTATTCCACCTTGATTTCGTGTTATCTTTTTTCAGAACCTGAATGCACATTAATACACATCACAACTAGGGTTGAATTATCTTGCGATATGATCTTATTTTCATAAATCTAAAACAAGTTACAATGTAACAAATTAATAATTAATTAATAGGGTTTGATTTTTTTTTATTAACCTGGATATCCAACCCGCTATGTGAGTCGACTAATTCTAAGGCGACTACCTGCTTTGCAGATAACCCGTAGTCACCGCATTTGAACCTCCGTGGCCACAAGAGGATTTTTATTCCTCATTGGATTTGAACCTGAGACCTCGTGATACTTTTGATCTTTAGAGGCAAGCTCAAACCAATCAGCCACCACCCTTGTGGTTTAGGTTTTGATTTCATCACAACATGCAACCTGATCTATTTATAACTGCTTTTCAGGATAAGATTTTAATGGATGAGATTCAAGAGCTGAATAGAAAGGTTTATATAATTTATTTGTTCTTCATTCTTTTTCCACATCAAAATGTTTCTGCAAATATTTAAAACTGGATGTGGGTTTTTTGTGTTTAATCACACAGGGGAGCTTGATACATCAAGAAAACATCCAACTCTACAAGAAGGTAATATATATATACATATATATCCCTTCAAACATGTATTGTTGGCCACAGATTGAATTTCTTTAACAATAAGAAATTATGTATATATATACGTGTAACGAAAAGTTTTGAATGCCCTCAGATTTACGGGACAAGAACAGATGTAGGAAACTGTGTGACAGAGGATGGTGTTCATGGCCTCATCAATCTGCAACTAAGCCAGCCTGATCAACAATATCGAACTCATGGAACATCGGCCAGCTCGTGACAGCAACAAGACCAAGATCATAATTTTGTGACGTACACGAAACTGGCGGAAATTTAAATAAAACTCCATAAATTTTAAAATTTTGTCATGAAAGAAAAGGAGTTTGTGCTATATATATATCAGTTCAAGAGGTACAAGGGAGAATGGATGTTTACACGTACGGGGATGAACCTTCTAAAAAATAACTTTAACTATTAATCAAAATTTATCGACATCGCTTTTTTGGTCTAAAAAATGTTAAGTTTGATTTATGTTTTGTCTTAACGCTAACGGGTGGCTAATTTTTCGCAAGAGTTTAATTAGTTGCTTAACACGAATAGATACGAGGTTCCAAGGTCGAGCTTCAATGATAGACCATTACATTAAGTCACGACCGTTGTAAATTAATAATCCCCAAATAGCTTAATTAGAAGATATTTGATTAGAGCTAATAAGAAGTCACTAGAACAAAATTGGGTTTATAGGACATCACCAACTTCTAAGCATCCTAATAGACTGTTTTATAGAACTTAATGTTTAGAACCAAAATATAAAACGTCTTATCTGAAGGCGTTGTAATAAGTCGATCGGGTACAGACGTCTAAACAAGTTTTTTAGTACACTATTTAATAAAAAAAAGCATCTTATTAACAAATTTTATAACACACTTTTGAGAAAGTGTCCTATAAATTCATATTTTATAGGACACTTGTTTTTATAAGACATTTTTTAATAATGTTCTATAAAATTGTTAATGAGACGCTTTGTATTAAAAGTGTTCTAAAAAATTTGTTTAGACGTCCAAAAACATTTTATAAACTTATTAGATAGACGCTTTATTTTTGGGTCCTAAAATGAAGTACTATAAAACCGTCTATTAGGACGCTTAAACTATAAAATAAACTGTTTAATTTTATATAATTGACATAATAGATTTATTTCTCCAGAAGCCGAAAGTTTTATTCCTGGTTAAACGGGGGAAATGAAAAGTCATTTTCATTTTCGTGTACATTCTCCAACCTGAACCAACAGCTCATAATTAGGTCAAAATCGATTTCAAGATCTCCCCATGATAAAATAACTAAGTTTTGGTCTTTACCGAATGAAAACTAATATCATTAACTAGAATAATCAACTAGATAATGGAATTAAAGCAAAAGGGAGAGAGCGATACCGTGTGGAAAATTGGAAAGGAAAAATCCACGGACGAAAAAAATAGAAAGTGAACAATCAATAGCCCTAATTCGTTCTAAATTTCCCGCACAGTTGCTCAATATGAGCTTGGCGGCGAGCTCAAGCTCGCTTAAGGAGCTTGCTCGTACCCCTTATACGTTATCTCGGTCAAGCTAGCTACTCACTCGCACACTTCACTTGCAGATAATTAATGTGCGGAAAGTTTGGCCATAGGCCATACACGATCTCTTCTCTATAGTATGATCAAGAGCTCGTATAGCCTAAGAACACTACTAGACAAAGCGTTATCACCGATGGTCAGAGCCAGTAATCACAAACAAAAGTCAATTATACATGAAATTTCCAAGGAAAAAACCTTGCTTCCTTAATCCGTCGGATGCAGAATTTACCAACAGATCAACGATACTAACAAAAAGTATTGACATAGAAAAAAGGGAAATTAAATTAATAAACAGTCATCGGGGATTATAAACGGATCACCGGAGATCAATTATTACTTTCATTTTCTTTTTATGCAATTTTTATAGATACATTAGTGATCATTGATGGTGCCAATTTTCACAGACGAATGATCGACAACTGATTCGTGTAAAAAACATCTAAAAGAACATTGATATGTAATTCATTTTAAAGTATAGGGTTATATTCCAGTGAGAAAGGAAGTTATGGTAGAAACGTAATAAGACATTTCCATCTTTCGATTAATCCTAATTGAATATCAACATTCATGAGGTGCATCGAGATGTACATCAATAAGTGATTAATGTTATAATTCTTATCCTCGTATGTCACTGACAAAAGAAGGGTAAAAGGGGAACGTTTGCTTATTAAGAACGTGACCAAGTGTAGCCTGTAGGGCCAACATTTAATATTCCATGTTCAATCGTCGACCGATATAATTTTTAGTATTCATTATCATATTTAACTAGGTAACTTTTCTCCGCTTTGTACTATCGTTATTGATTGATGAAAGAAAACATCAATAAGTTTGAATTCAATATAAAGTGTTAAAAATATATCATAATTATGGTACAATTTTATTTCTGAGTGTTCTATTTTGTTGTAATAAAGAGAGTTAAAATACACTGGTTGCAACGAATATGTAGTGTGAAAGAAGTTAAATTGTGAAATGACAGATAATACATTATATATATATATATATATATATATATATATAACTAATATTCTTGCTTTTATAAGAATAAAGAGTGTTGTAATATATTGCTTGTGAAAAATAAAAATATAATTTATAAATAACATATGTCAATTCGCTATACTATTAGGTGTGAAAGCCGAATATTACCTTCAATGATGAAAAATCCAATAAAATTGTGACATGGAACGTGGTTATAGTATAAAAATTATAAAATTGTGTTTTAGTTTAAAAAGATGGAAAATTATCATTTTTTTCCTTCTATGAATTCCCGAGTCCTAAAAAATGTAATAGAAGATAAATAATTAACTATTTACGAAAACAATTTGCAATCTTCAATATGAAAATAATAAAATTGCCAATCCGAGATATCTATATCAACTTCAAAGTCTATGTTTTGTGAAAAATAGAGGTAGTAATTCAAATTCATACCATTTGACGATAAAAAAAATATCATGGTGAA